ATAGGCTGAGACATCCTCATGAGGTATGGAAATTTTATTCACCAAAACCAATCAGAAATAAACTGCATTAAAATGACAGCCAAATATATGTCCCCACAGGTTCTTATTAGATCTAGTAGCAAATTTCCTTGACAATCAAAGGGCTGAAATGCATACCCAAAGTGGAGAGTTGCTCAGGCATCATCTTTTCCATTTCAAACACTGTATTTGTGTTGAAATTCCAGTGTGTGCTACTTGACGTAACTACCCTTGTAACTACCCTTGAAAAGGCGGGTCCGAGGAATTTGAAATGGTTTGTCATGAGATTATCATTCTCATTTGACTCTTATAGTCCATAATTTCCATATACCACCCTACTTTATATCTATGTCTTTATCATTATCAACTTTATCATTATTTTCTATAATGCCTAAATTTGCTTTCTATTCATACRACAGAGGTTATGTTCAGTCGAACTGAGACATAGGCAGATCTCAGATCTAACATTGTGGGAAGCAATGATGCTGAAGTGAGCAGCTGTGATCTATTTTCAAGAGGACTGATAAATCTAACTCAAATTTTCCTTAAAAGAATCAGGATAGGCCACTTAAAGGCTTACAGGAAACAATAAACTTGCATTCTAGTCTGAGAAGGGCAGCGAATGTGTCCAGGCAATGTGAAAATGAGTTACCACATCTGACTCTCCTTGATACATTACACACCAGGAAAATACATCTATCTCTAAAAAGATCACAGACGGAATAGAACCCATTTGAATTGCAACACTCTGGACCTCTCTGAATGATAAAAGTGACAAATTCTCACTGACCAAATGAGTTACAATAAAATATAACTACTGAACTGGCCRTGTGAAGACAGCAGTAGTTCTGGCCAGCATGTATGTATAAAGGAACTAAACAGGGGCAAGAGTTTTTCCTTCCTACATGTGGTTCAAATCAGTTACCTTAGAATAAGAGTACTCCTGCACACCTTAGCACACCTGAGTTTTCTGTATGCCAGCATCAGGAGATTTCAATTTCAGTATTAAAAACAGAGCTCCTAAAGGGAGAATTGTTTATTACATATGTAACACTGAAGTGTACTTAGCAGTAAAACTTCCTTTAATTAAACTGAAATTTTAAAATTGCATTTTTCTGAATAACACTTCCAAAATGAAAAAAAAAAGTTATCAGTAAAAATACGTATTCTTCATACCTTTTTTCCCCCACATCTTTTCCTTTTCCTACTATATGACTCACAAGCTGTTTTAGAACAGCTTTGCAACGTGCCTGAGAATTAGTTCCAGACCTTCTGATGTAAGTGCTGTCTCAGAGATAACTAAGAAACAAATTCTAGCTAGGATGTACATTATTCTTTTCTGCARTATGATTTCGATTATTTGATAATTTAAAATAGGTCCATACATACAGCGCTTCTAATAAAAATCATTATTTTAATCTTAACAATTTGATTTCATGTTCTCAAAGCACATGAGATTCTCATTGACACTGGTGTGGGTACAGATTAAGTTGATTTGCTTCAAATTAGGACATAACTTATTCCATAGTTTTAGTTTATTTGAAACAATCTGTATCTCACGAGCAATCATAGTAACTATATCTGAAGATGAAATTTGTGAGTAAATAGCATATCTGACAGCTGAATGGCACCATAGCTTACAAACACATGAAAGCACTAAAAGCAATAACTCGACACAGAGATTTTATTTACATTAAAATAAGCTGCATCTTCTACAAATTAAAACAAACACCTCCAACTTTATGGGCAAAACACTCTGGAAGGCTGATCACAAGCACACCGTGAGAAATACTGGCCAGTGATGTTCCTGAACTCCCGGGTAGATGTTAAAAAAAAGAGAGAGAGAGAGAGAAAGAGAGGAAAATCCTTTTTTTTTTTTTTTTTTTCCCAGATAACATATTACATTAACTGCAGCAGTTCCACACAAAGACAACAGAATTCTGGGGACAAAAAGACCATACTTGGCCAACTTCTATATTTTCATACATGGGCATGAGCTAATACAGTGTTTTTATATTCATGTATACCTACACACACCACAAACACACATGCAACAAATATTGTTTTAATTCCAACTTACCACAAATCCTTTTTCATCGTGCCCCCTGAAAAGAGGATAAATTCAAAGTGGCCATGATACATATGCTTAATACGCTCGTTCACAGTGGAAAATTACTTCTGAGGCTAAGGACCACACTGGCATACAGGAAATCATTAAAAAGTATTTTACTGCTGCCCAATATGTTTACGTGAACTAATTTTATAACATACCTGCAGTGATGGAAGAAGCCAGAGAATTATCTCTGTGAGCTATTTTTAATATAATGTAGTCAGCAGATAATTGTGTTTGCCTTAATGTTAACTAATGCCCCTCCTATTGTGTTTTAAAAGGAAGTGGATCAGCAGGAAACATTTAATTTACAGCAGTTTCTTGCTGTTTATGTGAACATCAGCTACCAGAACACCAAACAGTTATTTTACATATGATTTATTTCTTCCTTATTGATTTCAAAAAACATTTATTTTAGAATAAAACTTAACACATGCCAAGTAATAGGGACAAATATTTAAAAATTTATGTCAGAAGTTTTGGGTTTGGGGTTTTTTTTTTTGCATTTTTTCAGCCTTTGTTCAAGCCATTTTAGAGTATCATGAATGCCTGTGAAACTGTGGCGCTCAAGGTTGTAGCTAAGGGCACAGTTTTACACAACGATTAAACCTCACAGGATATAACACTATTAAGCACTTTCAATGTTGTATTATTGCAAGTGCACAGAAAGGTATCTGAACAGCAAAAGGGGAAGTTTTGTCGGATTCTGCTTTTTTTTTTTTTTTTTTCATCTTGTTTCTTCTAGGGGTCTGACATCATTCAGTTCGTTTGACTACAGACCATCTTTTSATAAATACATGTGAGTATGTGCTTACAGAAATGAAAATGCCAAACAGTATTTTAAAGCACTTTTCCAAATGGAAAATAACTATTTATCTTGTAGTATGTTGGCAGTCATTCCAACGAAATCTCCAGGCATATGATTTTTTATCAAAGTTAGCAACTAGACCATAACAGTAGGGGAAAAAAAAGAGACTCTTTCACCATTYACAATTCACCATTTAGCAATAATTTTAATCCTTATCTTATTCTGTAGCAATTTATTTGAAGGGCAATAGTTCTGCTACTGGGTTCCACTAACAGTTTGGGTTAGTAATGAGAACCCACAATTTGGGTTAGTAATGAGAAGATTTGCATTCTAAAAACAAYTTGTGTTTGCATAAACAATGAGGCAAAACTCTGTTGCTTAAATACCTCACAAACAAACTCATAGAAATCTCTGGAATTCTAAATTTTACTGGAAAATAAGACGCTTCAAGGCAGAAATGGTCTATGCTGCCACCCAGCAATATATACTGTTGATGTGCCGCTATTTTCATTGGCTTGGTTTTGATCAAAAGTGAAGTCCTGGTAATAAACATAATGAATATCTAATTAATTAGAAGGACACTGTTTAGTAAGGTGAGCAGCTGTGGACTTAATGAAAAGATTTTCTTTCTCCTGAACAAAATAGTTTTAAGTTGGCTCTTTAGAGATTCTTTTAACAGTCTGTTACCCTATTTTCATATTATCCTTTAAGATTCTGTGTTCTAAAAACCTTACAATCACAAGGAGCTTTTTTATTTTACAGATTGACTACTCATTAATGGTGGTTATACCACAGGTCAAGTTTTCTGTCTGTTTTTACCCCATCCTCACTGAATCCCACTAAAGCCCAGTTGTATGCAGCCGTGGTTCATGGGCAACTGAGACAGGAGAGTCCCACAAGATGTTCTCCCCTCCACAATGTTATGCTGAAGGTTGCAGAAATAATTTAATAAATTATTTCAATGTGCTAAGCACAGGGTTGCCAAGTACTGGAAAACTATTAGATGGCACAGTTTACTAGATTATATAAGCACTATTTTTAAAAGCGCACTCTGAAACTTACTTTCTCTTTTATCCAAGTCCCCATCTATTTTTATCAGTTTTCTCTCCCTGAGAGCATAAAAATAAATTCTGATATTTGAGTGACAATTTGCTCCAAATGCTTTAAAATATGCATTTCTGTTTCATGTTAATAAATTCTGCTACAAAACCTCAGTCTGCATTTAAATTTATGATTATAGGAGTTTTCCCAATTAGAAAATAATTAGATGTTACAAAAGTAAGTGTATGTAAAAAGCCAAAAGCTGTGAATTTTGCTAGTACAGCTAAGGCCTTAGACTCATCAGAGCAGTTGATGCAAATGGTTGTCTGTCTGTGTATATAATATTAAAGGATGATAGAGAAATTCATGTTAATGCATGTTTGCCTGGATAAGAAACAAATCCCATTTAAGGTAAGAAACTGCTCTTCACTATCAGTTTTCCTCAGAATTGCCTTCCTTCACATTTAAAGGCAATGAAAGGAAAGCAAACTCTGGTCATTTATTTAGGACAGGCAGGTGATGTTGGTCTTTGTTCTGACTCTGCTGCAGACCTATTTTATAATATGCTCTTTGGGCAACAAGTTGCATTTTTTGAGCCTTTAYCTCCCTTTGGACTGTAAGCTGTAAGCTTTCAATGTATTCCTACAGTGCCTCGTGGAGAGGGCTTTCTAAAGCACTTACAATAAAAAAAAATATATATTATTAATCAGGATTTATAATCAGGATAATAATATATTACTAATCAAGACTCAGCCTGCACAAAGCAAATCAGGTAAATTTATTGTGTTATTTCCGATAAACAGAAGGTATATAATCACTAAAACCCCTAATGGTTCATAATCAGTTCAAAAGCACCTATCAACTGAAAGCAATTCAAGTGCTGCTTGTGCCAACCCTTAAAACCCAAGGCACTTGCTGAGAGTCTGCAGGCTGGTGCAGCGGAGCCGCCTCGCAGAGCTGCTGCGCACACCAAATCCCGAATCCCGYGGCACGGCTCGGAGCTCTCGGCACCCGGGGGAATATAACCTGATTCACCCTGTGAATAAGACTCCACAAACACACACACAAGCAACCAACCAAATAAAAATCTTTAAGATTTTCAGCCATATTTATGTAACTATTACACGTAGTTAACAAAAAAAACTGTTCTAAGAAAAACAAGAGATGAATTGTCTCTCATCCCTGACTTTTTCTTATAAGAAAGATACTGATGTTACTTTTTCTTCTCTACCTATATTCATCTTATCAAAAATAATACCTTGTCCTTTTGTGTATTTGTAGTCACCCAAACACAAAATTAACATCTGTTTTTCAAATGTCTACAAGGAGAAGTGCTCTTAAAGTTTCTACTTTGAAGAGTGACCAATTTAAAACGCATTACTGTTCCTCACATCTGTTTATTGGAAGCCTCCGGTCATATCTATTTTACTGGTTATGATGATAACTATTACTTTTGCTCCTGATAACATTAACAATTACATAGCTAGGGGAATGACCTTTATATATCTTTGTCATTTGATTCTCAGTCCTATAAAATTGTTCTATTAGGTTATATTGAGAGTATAACCTACCTGCAAACCTCACACTTATTGGTAATAATGTATACAACAACCTCAATTTTTGTGTTCATATTCATTTTGAAGAAACAGTAATTTAGCTTTAAGAAATGGCATTTACGGAAGGTTTTAAACTTGTAAATTTAACCTATTTTAAAAGCAATACTAATTTATGCCATATTTATATACTCCTTCACAAAAGATCTCAGCTTTTAGTAACTTCAAATACCAAGGAACGATTGCCTAAACACTAGCATATGAAGCCCTGTATTTCTGCTTCATAAGCAGCTTTTATAAAATGATGCTGTAACAAGAGCAAGCATTTTTAATTATGAATTTACGACAGCAATCTCTGCTCTGCTGTGTATGGGTTTGTTTGAATAAATTTTATATTTTTATAAGAAAGCTTATTTAATGAGTATGATACTAAGATGCCCTTTTATATATATATATATATATAATATCTTTAATGAGTATATTCAGATACAAGTAATATGATGCTTTACTCCTAATTGTTGGAGATTTTCCCTCAACTTTTTCCTACACGGCATAATGGTGCACTGAAATACTATAGTCACACGCTACTATTTATGAATAGTTTAACACTTAAAAATGAAATAGATAGTATTCCTCTATTCCCTGGTGGATCACTGCAAGACCTACCAATTGGGCATGATTTAGCATCATACATAAAATCTGCTGTGAATGAAACAGCAGCAGTATTACAACTTTAAATGATATAATGTAAATTACACAGAAGAGGTTGCACAGAGCCCACTGAAGCCACCATATCTYGAGCATTAATTTCACTATTTCTTTTTACAGCTCCTTCTAGTGTACCCCAAACATAAAGCTCTCTAAATCTTCCATTTAAAGATTAAAATAAATCRGCATTCATCCTGGTCTTCTACTCTAATTGACAGTTTCAGACTGACTTTCTATTTTCTGCTACAAATGCTGCCCTTACAGAAGAAAATTATGTAATGGTATATTATTATGTTTAGTCACACCACATTTTTAAAATGAGTGTTTCTTAACCGCATTTATGTCCAGATAAATGATCATAAGTGCACTTGACTGAAAGRTAAGTAAATCTCAGTGCTCTACGCAAGCAGTAAGTACCAGACTGTCCACTTACCCTTTCATTACTTAGGAGCCAAAGATAGACCTTTCCAGGAGGATTCTGTAGATGACAAAAGAAAAAAATCTTGAATAAAGTACCAAGCAGAATATATCTAGAGATAGATATGGATATTTATTTTACTGAATACCAGGAATATTGCACTTCTATTTTTTTTAAATAGCTATGTAAGAAGCAGTTCATTTCCTGTCCTTCTTTCCTCAAGGTTTTTGACTAGATTCATGGCATTGCATCAGTTCAGTTTCAGCTAAATTATATTTCTCTCAACAAAGAACATTAGTTAGGCTATTTTGGTATTAAAGTCAACAAGAGGGTAATCTATTAAGCCCTCTGTCAAAAATAAAACAAGCACACGTATAAAAACAGACAGGACTATAGACAGCGAGAAGACTGACAAAATTACCAATTAGACCAAAGAAAGCGTCTCCATTTTTAAGTCTCTCTTCTAGGTTAAGTTTTCTCTGAGAGGATCCTGTTAAGTTTTCTCTGAGAGGATCCTGGTTATTTCAGTCCTCTGACTTGCACTATTTTTTTGCACAATGTCAAGGAACGCTACCGTAGTAGTAGTTAATTCTATGCTTGTAAAGTGGAAATGTGACCAAAATTGAAAACTTACATTTATTTCTCCGTTCCCTTCCTGCTTCTTATAGCCATTTATACATTTCATGACTGATATCTTTAATAAGTCTAAGGATAGCATCACTCASAGTTCTCCTCCTCACACTAACCCCCTGTTTTTTCAGTATTTCTTCAGAATTCAGGTTTTATAGACTCTTAAAATTTTTWCTACTTTCTTCTGGATACTATCCAAACAGACCACATCTCCCTTACATTGCTAAAAGCTGGACAAATTAATTCTACTGTGATCTTAACAGTGGCACGTAAAACAAAGCCTTCATTTATGTGCTTTTATCAACTATAATCCTGTTTACRCATCCCATTCTCCAACTCATACCTGTAGAATTATCCCAGTCTAAATGTTCATGATTCTTTTGTACTGAACTGCATCCCATTTTTTTAAGTTCATTAAGACCATTTTTGCTTCCAAGATCTAACCTGGTTTTATTTTGTAATCCATGTTGTTGATGAAATCATTGAACAGAACTAGCTCTAAAATCCTTTGTAGAACCCCTACTCTGCAAAGGGGTTCCCTTCTACTCTGACAAGACACCACTGATAATTACTCTTCAGGTGCAGTTTACWCAACTAGCTCGGTACCAACATGTGCCTTCAGCCAAACTATGCATTTTTCCTTCAGTTTTCCAAAGTGAAGGCATTTACCCTCTACAGAACGACCAAGACTCCTGCAGGGGCTGAAACTAAGCTGATGGGTTTAAAATAAATATATAAACAAAAGAGTCAATATTGTGCCCTGTTTTGTTTGTGAGGACCCCCAATATCTTCCACAAGTTCTCAAGAACGCCACATAAGAACTCACCTGACGTGCATTAACTGTATTAACCATTACCATTAACCACTACCATTAACTGTGCTACCATCACCAGCAATAATACCTGCTCTGGCTACATAGTGCCCCTTGCCCTTGCAGGGAAGCACAAGGCATAAAACATTCAACATCTCAGCTGAGACTGGGGCATTAAAACATCTCCTTATGTTTTGAGCAGATAGTCTTCTTTTTCTTCCTCTTCTGCTGTATTTTATTACACAAGCAAACACACTGTCTATACACACTGAGTTGTGTGTAAACACATTGAGCTCTCGTTGCTCAGTGTCTCCCTGGTTGTGGTCCCTTCTGTCCCTACATGCTGAAGCTTTCTTTTAGCACTTGTCTACTGAATCTGCCTAGTTTCCGTGTAATCCAGCTTTCCTACAGTGGCTGTTATCTTCAGGCCACTGTCTCTGGTACGATGCCAATATCTTTAGGTCAGAATAAAAGTACTTGTGTCAGATGCCTGGTTTTGAAGTCTAATCCCTCATTTTTACTTCCTATTCCCTCCAATAGTTTAATAAAAATTGGTTTCCTCAATTATTCACTAAGTCTGGAGGGGTATGGAAGGTTAAAAAGTATTCCTCTTTTTAACACCAGAATGTAAGTAGCAAGCGTAGAATTTTTTAAAATTTTAACAAAAAGTCCATATTTCCGAACATCTTCCTAAAGCACAGGCTGGTATTGCAACCAGTGTATTATAAAATCAGATTGTCTCTTGTGTGTTACTGGTCAATGTTCATCAGAAGAAAAGTGGAACGACTCCAAAGGCAGAGCCCAGCAACTGCCCATGTGAAAATCCCAGGYATCCCGTGAGCAGGACAATCCAGCGGGCACTGGGACACGGAGCTGYGCTCCCGCTGGTTCTCGCACTGCGTCGGGCGAACCCGAAACCTGCGCCCAGCCCGAAGAAAGGCCAGGAAATCCCCGCGTGGCTGAAGGGCCCACGTGTCCACAAACACCACGCGCTGCACAGGGGCACAACGCCCACCACGGGGCCCATCACACTCCCGCCACCCCACCAAAGGATGGATGCTGTTTTCACACAGCATACAGTGCATATTCAACACAACGATGCGTATTTCACACAACAGCAAATTGCTAGAGGGTCAAGCAAACCTGCTTAGAGACATGAGAGGCTTTATGTGGGTTTTTAGTGGCATGAGAGAATGGTGTTGTGTCCTGAAGGGCACCATCATTATCATCATCATTATGCCCCTTTCGCAGCCCAGCCCAGCTATTCCCATGCTTTGTGCACGCCATCACTATTCCCTGTGTCTGCTCCTATTCCTTAATGGATTTTTATTTCCTATCAATCTTGGCTCCAAAATAAATGCAATGCTTTGCCTTACAACCTGCAGCTAGGTTCTCACAAGGAAGAGAAGTGCAACGTGTCTTTTAAAGTGGCCACTAATACATCTACAAGTGCTATGCTCTTTGGCAGTTGTCACGGCACAAAACAAGCAATGCTCATTTGAAGATGGACTGACTAGGGATTAATRCAAGCACAAATAATGTTGATTAAATGACAAACTTTGCTGCTTTGCAAGTTAGTATTTCCAGCAGTCTATGACTATAAACTGCCATTTTTGCAGACTACCAGGCAGGAGAGCAATCAGGTTCCATTCTGCCAGGTCTTTTTCTTCTCAGGAAAGAATATCTAAGTACACACACAGTAAATGAAGATCTGAAGACAGACAATGTTATCTCCTCTGTTTTCCTTTTGGAGGAATTTATACCAGTATATATTTCAACCAGTAAGTACAAAAATGACAAGGACAAAGACACTAAAAGTCATTCTGACCATGTGTATTTACTCTATAGGGCAAAGAATTGTCTGCTTTTAGGAATATATTTAATTTTGATTCAAAGATTCCATGTAATGAAATCCTACGTCATGTGCTCCAAAGGTTAGTTATCCTCATTGTTAAAGATATGTGTCATATTTATTAGTTTGTATTTGTTTACCTTCAGTTTCTAGCCTCAGGACCTCATTACCTATATCTGTCTATCTATCTACCCATCTATCTGTATATATGGTTTTTTTCACTCGTGCAAGGACATCACTACTTATTTTCACGCACATCTTTGTGGGCTTTGATCAAACCACATCTGAAACTTCACTCAAATATATTAAACAGCTTGAGCTTTCTAAACCTCTCATTGTAAGGCACATTGCAATCATTCTTGAGCAGTTTYTGAACATTTTTTTCACTAATTTTTCCCTTTTGAGATATAACAATCACAACTGCAAATAACATTGTAGTAAGTCTAACTTGCATCATTGGTCAACGTTGCCCACTTTTCTATTGCTTTACCATTTCCACATCAGCAAACAGTAAAAATAGTGTTCCACCCAACTACTACACTCTGATTTCAGAGTATGTAAGATTTATAATAACCTCTGAAGAAAATAAACCATTAAATATATGAGTGTAAATGGAAAATGAGATAAAATATGGCATGACTACCAAAGTAATCATATTAGAATGACTAAATCTATTTGATAAATCAGAGCACTATATGGACAAAGAAAACGCAGGATAGGATTTATTCAGACTTGTAATACGTGACAAGGCACTACAGAAAATAATTTATGTAAAATGGGAGTCAATGCTATAATAGTAAGAAGCAAGGAAATGGCTATAGGGGAGCTGCAACTGCTAGCATAAAATAGACCTGTGTGCTGCAGTGGGGTTAGTTGTGCAACTCCTCAAAGATGGGGGAACAATTTTATTTAATATTTTTAAGACTCTTTGGCATAAAAGACAGTACTTATGTCAACACCACTTAACAGTACTGATGTCAATATCTCTTAACYGTGTGTCAATACAGAGAAGTGAACTCTGATAAAGGAAAAACTGGGTGACTCGGGGACTGGAGTAATGGAAGWGGCACGACATTTAATAACACAAAGTACGAGGTCAGGACACCGGCTCAGSGCTCAAGGCTCCTTAGCAGCGTGCACCAAATTGGATTTTTTTGCCCTCAAGGAGAGGACAAAATTACTCAGTCTTTCAGTATGAGCAGCATCAAAACTATATTTCATGGTGATGACAGAAGAACCTCCAGAGGAGCATCTTCCCTGCGAAGGTTGTGTGCTGCTGAGCTAAGCAGCATCCGTAGCACCACTAATAGGTGGCCATGGCCCCATGGCCTCCTGCACGACACCCGTCCCTGACCCAGCACCGGGGCCGAGCGCCCTGGCTGGCGAACGGGGTGAAATCCTGCTGGGAATGGGCAGGGGTGGCTGCAAGGGGCTCCAAGCGCAGCCAGCAGCACGGAAACCACGTGCAATCAGTGCYTGGTCCTGCACCAGGAGCTGCTCCGGGAGGACGAGGTGTGGGAGCAATTCCGAGCCAGGATGACTTTGCAGACACATCAGTCTGTCACCGCACACGACTATTTATGCCTAAATYTAGTTCTGTGACAGTTCCTCACGAACTATTACAGTGAAAACGTATTAGGGAAATGAAGATCACAACATATTCATCAATCTTAGCACAACTGAGCCACCAATGTGAAGCAACTCTACAAGGCGAACATGACCTTAAATCAGAGAAGAGATTCCAGTAGAGCAAGAGAAGGCTTTATG